TACCAACACGAAGATAAGATTTCCAGCAAAAATGTGAAGTCAAAGGAAAAATCAATGTACAATAGCTTACAGCTGAAGCGAACGGATTACGTTTTTTTATGATTTTTTAATTTCCCTTTTTATATGCTCTAACAGTACAATAAGTGAAATAAAATTTAATTTGTTTATATTAAAGTTCAATATTGTTTTTGTCTTTGAGTAATTTTTAGAATTTGTATGTGCTATTTAACCGAAATGTTATTTTTTTATTAATCAGCATGTGTTTACAAAAATTAAATAGTCATTAAATGGCGAGCAAAAGTGCTCGACGTAAGTGCGGCCGATAAGCACGTCACTTCTAAATCGGTATGTAGTATAGTTATATATAATATGTATACCTATGTAGCTTAACAGCGGTTTATCAACGTAAAAACCCTGTACACTTTCACTAATCATTGCCACTGGTTTTAACAGAGATCGCTAGCTCATTCATGATATGCTAATTTTATTGCATTCAGTTAAGTATTGATTAGTTTTGTGATGTTAAATTATATAGCTAAAATTAAGTTATACTTATAGTCTTAAAAGGCCTTCAATTCATTTATTAAGAATATTCCATTTTCCTCAGTTATCTACTATATTTCACAAATAGGCACGTACGCTAGCAAACAAGGTTTATACTGAAAGTCACTTTTTTGTGTTTTTTGGTTTTTTTTTAATTGATATGTCGTATATTATTTTTATAGCTCATAACGGACGATTAATGTTCACTTTCGATTTACTGCGGCAATTTTTCACGCGCTGATATAGTTTTTGTAATTGATAATGCGATTGAGCGCTAATTTTTAGAACAGATTATACATATGTCTTCGAAATACAGGTTGAGAGCTGGAAGTGCGAATTGTTGCAGTTTAAGAAGTAGTGAAACAATACTTTAAAGATTTGTTAGTAAAATATGTGATGTACGAAATAATGCTATCATTTTAGCCGCTTTATGCTTTCTTTAAAAGTAAAGATGAAATCATTTGGATTGTTTTTGTTAGTGGCAATTGCATATAGTTTTTAACATTGAAATCTGTAAATAATTTAAATTTATAAAACACTTATGCTGAATAAAGATGTTAAGAAAAATGTACCCCTTTTTATAAATATACCCTGTATAGAGTATATTAAGTTAGCAACGAAGTTTGTAAGACTCACAAGGAAACTTCGGAGACCCTATAAATATAACTAAAAACAAAAAAAACGATCAGCGGTACAAGTTGAGTCTGTATATACACGAATTAGTCGCTCAGTTTTTGAGACATCGAGCTGACATTTATGCACACGTTCCTTTATCTTCAAGAAGCTGCTAATTTATCGAAAAAGATGATATTGGACTATTATAGCATTTAACTGCCTTACAATTTGACCAATCAAAATCAAGTTCTTACATGGAAAACGTTCTTTTTTATTTGTGAAGCATATTATAGTTTCGGTGCAACCGAAGTTGACATTTTTCTTGTTTTAAAATAAGAAAAGTTTGTATGAGAGTAAAGTGATTCAAATACTCAGCTCATTTCACAAACCACTAGTGCAATATATTTAGAAATCGTTGAAGGCAGTGCCGGTATGTACATTTTGAACCACGTCTAAATCGTAGAAATACTTCGATATAAAATTAACATTATGCTTATCCTAAATTGTTTTTCAGATAACATAATATGGAAGTCTTCTTTTGAGGAAGAAAGAGAATTTGCCGCTGGTTGACTTACATTGGCTTTTAGTTCAAACAAAAAAGCTTTAGATATAATTATTTCTATTCAATTTTCAAAAAAGAAAGCACAGGGATCATGAAGAAATAGAAGTATCTTACAGCAGAGGCTCTAAACACATATTAACAATTCCAACATCGTGCGAATAATGAATAATAAGCCATTTCCACAACTGTCGGGCCTACAAAATCAATTTGAACTCGGCAGAATTTCGCAAAACTTTATGGAGGTGTTTTTTTTGCGGCACAACAACAGAATATGGTAAGCAGTTGCTTAATTAAAACACTTTAAGAAACGCTGTAATTCACATGGGTTCATGATTATTATGCTATATATGGAGAGATCTTAAATATGCGTAAGCATATAAAGATCGTTGCGGAAAATTAAATAAGTATTAAAATGTATGAATTCAAAACGAAAAGTATATTTTCGAATATGTTATATGCCGTTCTGATGTAAAACTGTGTTAGCAGTCGTTGCATGGAGCTATATATTATATTAACATATGGTAGACTCCTCGCCTTGTTAGGCTATAAACATATGCATATATGTAGACTTATATACAAATAAATATTTTTTTTCCACATTTGTTTTCCATAAACTTCACTTAACTCCAAATTTTTATTTATTTTCGTGAAGTAAAAACAGCCGCATGATTGACAAGCGATTGGCAGTATTTTGTGTAAACAATCAAATGCATTACAAGCCATTAGCGCTGGAAAATGCATGCATTAAATCATATATATAACTATATACTCTTGTATACAGCAATATTTATGAGAAGTGATCTTCCTTCTTCATTCCTTCGATCTACCATACAATATTTACCGTAAATGAATTTTCAGAATGAAAGAGTGCATGTTTATTTTAAAAATATAATTTAAACAACAACTGGGAAAATAAATATTTTTTTGTTTAGTATTTAAAAATAACTAATTTTCCATTTGCACTTAATGAACCCCTTTCGCGCAGGCAATTTTGCCTAGCCTTTCTGATGAATTGTATTGCTTGTGGGTGGCACAATTCCCCTTCTTTTAATTGCAATCGCATTTTTTTCTAAATAGTTGAAATTATTTTTATTTTAACTCTGCGCCATCAAGTGCCTCACTTTCTTAAGCATTCGCTTTTGTTTACTTATACACTTGACTTGTCATATTTCCAGTTTTTCTTTAGTGATTGTAACTCAAGAATTTCTTTGTGATTAGCAAATGCATTTATAATTTGCTCGCCGCTCAAGTGGCGCGTGTTCGTGTGCGGCAGTGATTAGCATTGCTGCCACTTTGCAACTAAAATCACTACGAATAACATATATCTGTATTAGTGCGTGTATGTGTTAGCTTGTGTGTTCACAGCGCGGCAACGTCAAATTCACCGCAGCCACTTGAGTGATTTGTGTCATTCACTTAATGGTGCAGGTTTGATTGATATTTTGAAGTAGCTTTATACATCATACAATAATTGCATAGTTAGTTGAAACTTAAAAGAGTGCTTGAATGCTGCCACTGAATGGAATTTCGACGAGACTAAGTATGATTTTAAAAGCGGCAGAATATTGTTTGCCCTTATTGACTAGAAGCATTAAATATATAATCAAGAATGCGTATACACGGTTGCTAACGCTGAGTATGTATGAGTGATGGCAGAAATAATTATAAAGAAAAATTGCTAAAATTGTTAATCGTTTTTTTCTAACTTGTTTCTGTAAAATCTCTCTGCAGCTATTTCATAATTTTTTGTAACTTATTTTTATACAAATCTCACAAAAATAATTTAGCATACTTCTTTGGAGTTTTTAACGCGTCAAAAGCCTTACTACAATAGACCAACAAAAATATGTTTTCTTTCTTTAATATTTAATTTTATTCTTCAACTTTTATTCTCGCCTCACATTTAAAGCTCCGTCGCTCAATTAGCCACAACTTCCTGGGTGGTTTTTCAAATACGTTTAACTCAACATTGTGCGCTTGGCGACAAAGCATAAAATAAGTCAATTAACACTTCAAAATCGTGTGCGTTTTTAACTTAACAACTCCTTTGCTTATTTAAATATATTTATGATTTGTTGTTCCACTCATCGGCTGCCTACTTCGCTGAGTAAAAGTCATATACGTAAACACTTGAAGCGTAGTCGAGTGAAAGCTGCGCTTGAATGGCAAAAACAAAGCGGCACTGCGTGAAAAAAATTAAAACAAAACAACAATAATAACAATAGCTGCATTGAAAGCGGCGGAAAAAAGTGCCATTCTATGTCTGCACATATGCATACATACATATGAGTGAGTGGCACTCGAGCAAATCCACTACATCTGTACTGAAGTGTCACAAACACTTAATATAGCACACATAAGTAGACGTGCAGACGCGTATATTTAGCGGTTTGTTTAGTTAGATGCGCGCTTGTGTGCTCAAGCTTGATATGACAGCGTTGCATACTTTTATGCTTGACTTCGTGTATTGTGAAAATACAGACAAAACAACAATAATATGCGCATAATACATATAATTATATAAATAGCATATAAACGTAGGTATAAGTAAAAACAACAACAAATATATTTGTATTTATGAAGTTTCTAAAGGCTGTCTGCATATGTGGGTGGTCCTGAAGCTGCTTTGCTGGTTTCTGCACTTGAGTTTTGTGCTGCTGTTGAGTACAACGCCATGACGGATAATATAGTAGATGCATACATATATGTGTATGTGTGTGCGTGTCTCAAAGTTTAATTTGCGCTTTGTTTTGCAGCCTAAAGTGTTATTGCGGTAAACATGTTGAGTGCCACTGTGGGAATACTTAATTAATTTTATTGTCAAAGGAAAATAATACAAAAATAAGAAGCTTGTCATTAGCTATTTCGAAGAAGAAAAATATTTCAGTACAGTGAAGCATCTTTCTGAATGTCTAAGCGTTGTTAATTAAAGAAATACAATATTTACTCCAAATGTTTCAGTACTGTAATAATATAGTAAGAGTGACTTATTTCTTAAATCTGAAACTAGTTTTTTACAAATCGAAGTCTAATAAACCAAAACAAAATTAAAAACAAAAACAAAAAATATGTACGCAATTTCATTCCTTTACAGGATATTTGTTACAAATTTCAGCTACAACGGTAAAATATTCCAAAAATTGTGTAAGAAATAAAAGTTAATAATTTCAGCAATTTTCAAATTCAATATTTGCCCAATATTTTTTTTTTTATAAATTTTCTTATATATTTCAAAAATTTGTTTGTATTTTTTTTACAAAATTCGGCTTTTCTAGAATTATATAAATTCAATATTTGCTAGAAGATTTTTTTTACAATTTGTTTAAAATATTTTTGAAATTTTTGTAAATTTTTTTTTATTACAAAATTCAGCTATAACGTCAAAATATCCGACAGGTATTTAAATAAAAAAAATTTGAACGTTTCTAGAGGCATAAAAATTGATCAGTTTAGCTATGAAATATTAACTTCGTCAACTTCAAACCAAAAAAGCAACAAATTCGCCCTCAACACATTTCATCTATGCGAAAACTAGACGCGAAACCGCTTGCAGCTTTGACAAATCAACACAACTTTTAAAAAAGTAATAACAATTTTTCAAAATTATATATTTTTTTGAGGTGCGCGTGCGTCCTCTAAACACGCAAATGACAAATGTTTTAAATGTATTTGAAAAGCAATTGAAAAAATATTAATTATCAATATTTTTCATTTTGACACAGGCAAGTTTGCGCAGCGCTTAAAAATAATATTGCACAGAAGCAACAAATTAAAAAGAAAACAACAACAACCAAACTTTAGTGAAATCTATTACAAGCAAAAGTGCAAAAACAAAAAAAAAAGTTAATTCGCACTGAAAAAAAAAAACACAAACAACAAGCGCGAATGTTTTGCTCAAACGCTTGTGGCGGCACAGTTTGAGTTGCAACATGTGCGCATTTGCCAAAAATGGCAACTGGAAAAGTGCATAAATCACGCAACTAACAACGGGCAGAAGTCAAAGCAGCATTGCCAATGCAACTAAAACAAGTTTCGCAGATGAGTTGCGGCCGCCAAGTTAAGCTGCGCAGCTGCAACACGAAAAAAAAAACAAAACACGAAAACTAAAAATTCGAAAAACACACAATCTAAATCAATTGCGGCAAAGTATTTTTCTATTTTTTTTTCTCGTTGTGCCCAACTCGTTTAGCTTTCGGCGAAATAGTGGCGTTATTTTGGCATTTCGTAGGCGTTGCGCTGATAATATTAAGCGAGTAGCACATTAATTGTAAGCGCTCGGTAATGGCGCTGAGATAAATAGTAACTCACATACACACACAAACTCATATAAAAAGTTGATAAAAAATATTAGTTAACGTTTCAGCAACAACAACACTTTTGTTTACTTCGTTTACTATGCGATTATTGATTGCCGCCGCTGCGGTGGCATTTAGCTGTCCACCTTTAAAGCGCTGCTGGAATTGAAAGATCAAATTGTTTTTAACTGCGTTGGCTGCTGCCTATGTTGCCGCTCGATTGTAAATTATTTTTATTTAAGTCATTAATAATTTTTGTAAATTGCATAAAAATTTATATTAAATAATCTCTTATCAAGGCTTGCTATCAGTTAAGTTATGAAGGTGTTCAGTTTGAGGGGGTTCAAGGCGCGTTGTAAGCGTTTGCGGGACTTTTTTATGCACAATATAATTGATATTTGTTATAAATGACGTCTAATTAAGGATGTGCCAATAACAGGCTGGGGAGCGTAAAAATTCTTCTGACGATTTAAAATATGAAATTTGTTTGGTACAAATTGCCAAGTGACTAGTGGAGTTTTTGTATGAATTTTTATCTGTTGAAATCAATACAAGCAATAATTTATTATTTTTTTGGTTTCACAAATTATAGATTAATTGAATATTCAGCTTACAGGCAGTACAGTTTTAGTAAGGTGAAACTAAATTTAGTTAGCTTTGCTTTAGGCGTAAACATAGTCTTGGAAAAAGACGGAAATTTATTTTTGGCCTTATCATCTGAAAATTTTTATATTTTTATTATTGCGTTCTAGGTATATTTAAAAACTATCTAAAAATCATATCAGAAATAAAGTTCAGCCCTTAAAAGGTTGTAGACTAGCAGCCTAGCATTCAACCTAAAAAAATTGCATTGAAGCTGAAAATTGAGCAAAATAAAGAGAAGTAACTAAATCAAGAGAAAAGAAACTTTTTGTGGTTTTACAAAAATATATTAGTCATTATCGATTCGCCATTTCTCAGCTCGTTATCAGGTGGCGCTGCGTTCTTGCCAAAAAATTGAGATGTAAAAGCAACAAGAAAGAATCTAACTGATAAAAGAGAGTAAGCAGATATCTCATTAAAGTTAATTAACTCTTTTTTTAGCGCTATATGGCTCATATGTTAAATAGTTGTCAAAATGACAATACAAAATTTTATATTTAGCAAAAGGTATTTACTTAAATACAATATTTTAATAACTGAGAATTTATGCAAATACAACATTTTTTATAGAATATGTGGGCCAATGAAACGAAGTGGTTAAAAATGTTATTTGGCGCCGAAAAAAAGTATTTCTTTACGAAAGAAAGACCCAGAAGATGTTAGAGGATAATTTAGTGTAATGTAACAGCTGGTATAGTGTGTTCGCTACGCTACTCGCTAACGCTTATTCGAATACAATTATAATCAAACAACAAAATAATGCAAAATTTCGTTAGCACACTCTTTTATGAAGAGATTAGCAAAATTTTTCAAAATCGTTTCGTTGCTTAACTTTAAGCTTTAGCTAGCTTTACTCGGCTAGCTTTACTCGTAAAAGAAATATGCTCCAAAACTATATATAAGCATAAATACTTTGTCATATTTTAAATTTTCGGTATATTTATATGAATTTATTTTTTAATAGCGCATACAAGCCGTTTTCATACTTTTATTTTATTTTTTTTTCCATTTTGTTTTATATTTATTTACATACATATATGTATATATTTTTTATTTTTTTTTTATTTTGAGGTCATATATTTAATATGTTTTCCACCTCCATTCGCGCCTTCAGTCGCACCGCAACAATCAAACGTACCAAACCAGCCCGTAAACCACACCGACCAAACAACCAATCACTGAACCATATAACAACAGTGCATTGTCGTTTGCTGCATGCCACACAAGGCTGCTGATTGCACTAAACCGTAAGCATCTCCCCAATATAACAAACAATATGCAGCGCCACAGCGCACGCCGACTTTTCGGCATTCATAGCGTTGTGTATTTCCATTGTGAATTATTACTTTTCGGTTGCAATTTCGCGCGCGCACTCACACTAACGCGCACGCGCACACATACATCTAGACATATGCACAATATATCTCTATTTTATGCATAAAAATTGGAAAATTTGTTATTGAAAGTGTGCATTAAGTTGTAGGCGCACAGCGACACTCCACCAACCCCGCCGCATGCCGACGCTTTGTAAATTGGTGTTTTTGCGCTTTCGCACATTTATGGGCGCGCTGAGCTGTGTCGGAACTGCGCTGGGCGCACACAGTAGATAGTGCAATGGATTTTTCGGTTTATGTTGTTGTCGTTTTATAAGCGACATCTCGGAGTCATATGAGGTGGTTATGGAGATATATATGTATATGTGTCGCCTATATTTTGGGTGCGCTTGATGGATTTATGTTGCACATTCGCATCAATTTTTCATTACTGGCTATGCGCTGTAAGAGTCACTTGTTTTTGTTGTATTAAAGTTTTCATTTTGCATTATTTTCGCCGCAATGCACTTTATTGTGCATATTTGTGGCATAACAAAATTTTTTACTCGCATTTCTTTGTGTTTTTTGTTTAATTGTGGCGCGTATTTTTTACCAAATTGTTTTAGTTGTTGTCAATGCAGCGTGGATAGGGTGCAAAGTTGCGTTATGGTTGCCAGCTTATTGCATATATATTTTTGCGAATCTTTTGCGACCTCGATGATTTTTTTTTCTTTGTTGTTCGTGTTGTTATTTTATTTCCCAATTTTTCTGAATTTCTCCATTTGCTCGCTTGGCGCGAAAATTTAATTTGATGTGCGGTCGCCGCGTAATTTGTTGCAAACAACATCGTGTTCGCGTCGTTTGCGGCATTGCCTTTTAATGCAACACATAACCTAACGGTATAGGCAAATGTGTCGCCAAATCAATGCTGCGCTTAAACGCGCCACACTCCACGTTGCAACTATGCCTATAGACAGCTGGAGTGTTGCGTGTTATTTTGTTGTTGCAGCTAACTTTTGCACACTTTTTCATTTAATTTCTTTCATTTTTACAGTTGGCTGCCGTGTTATTTATAATTTTTAATGCATTAATTTTTTGCAATTAAGTGATAAATTTTGCGGTGAGGTTTTGTGATTTTCGTGGCGATGTTGCAACTGCATGTATTTGGCGTAGGCTGTGCGCGAAATATGTTTATCAATTGTTGCAACATTTTTTGGTTTCTTTTTTGTGTGTTTTGTTTTTGCAACATGTTACACATTTTTCTTGCCTTTCAACGTTATAATTTCGCATTTTTGTTTTTGTTGCTCGTTTTGCGAAAGAGATATATAACTTTTAATTAAATTATAGTGATAGGCGTAGCGAGTGCTGCGCTTAAATCTGGGGAAAATAACGTGTGTTTTGCGGTTTTGCATTTTAAAATGTGCGGTCGCAGCTTAAAGCGCAGCAGCAGCGCCAACAGCTCAGCAACAATGTTGGATTTAATTATTTTTAATGCATATTATACTATTTTTTATAGCTACACTTAAAATGCTATAAATTTTGCAGCAAAACAAAAAGTGAGATTTTATCGCGTTTTCTCTTCACTTTTAATTGCGGCGTAAAACAATAAGCATAATAAAGTAGAAAGGGGGTAAAACAAATTGAATTTTATAATGGAAAAATTGTGTAATTAAATAGATTATTTATAATTATGAAAAGTAATGTAATTAGATAATTTGTATGTGAATTGGTTTTAAAATTTCGAAAACTGAAATTAATTGCATAATAAAGTCGTTTTCGCTTTCAAGGCATCAAAACTAGTTCTAGCTGGAATATGTTCATTTTCGAAGAGCTTGAGCCTTACCAGTGAAGCAAACACATTTGTGTTGCAATCAAAATGACAAATTAATATATATATATTAATTTTTTTCGTTTGAAAATCGCAAATATTTTTATATATATTTTTATATATATATATATATAATTTATATTAAGTTCAAATAAAGAGAAAAATAAATATTTTAAACTAAAGAAATTGCAGTGTGTTTGGGACATAATAGGGTAAGTAAAATTTTGTTGTACAAGATAAAAATAAAAACCCAAAAACCAAATTTTTTGATTTTGCACATAAGTTTTGAAGTTAAAAATTCAACCCCCCCGCACTGCTTTTTAACCGAACTCAGATGGCCCGTAGAATAGTATTCCTTAAATTTTGTTATTTTATGCTCTTATTCCAATGAATTTTAATCTACTATGATTTTTTTTCGCTTTTTACCCTTTTCGAAGGCTTTTGCATTGACCTAACAAAACAATATTTTTGATCCTAAATATTTCGAAATGTACCATAATGCCAATAATACTAGTAAATATAATATTTTTCTTTCTCTTTTGTTTTGTTAATTATTACACTATTATAAATTCATATTACTTTTGCACTCGATAGAGTCTGCAATTGATCCCTTTATATATTCAAAGTATTACTTGACCGCTCATGAAGAAAAATTTAAGCATTTTTAAGGCTTGAGCGGTGTCAAAACAGTTGAAATTTAAGACACCTTTTTATTGTTATTCTTGTATACAGCAGAACAATAGTTATGATTTTTTGTATGTTTTAAGAATGGTTTTGGCGCTCTTGGAGTTAAACTTAAGCATTTTTAGGTTTAAGGAGCTACTGTATCTATTTTCTTATAAGAAATATTATTGTAGTGAAGAATAAAGTACATAAACATACATACAACATAAATTTTTTGCTGGAATTCTTATAGCACTCAATATAATAACAACAACAACTAATAATAGTACTTTTCCAGCAAGTATACTTGACGTGAGGCAAGCAATAAATTAAATATAAAATTTGTATATAATCATACTATCTGTGTATATATATGTATATATGTTTATTGTTATTGTAATATAAGGAAATAAATGTAATTTTGAAGGACAATTAAAAAAAATATTACTTTCATTTCAATTAATTTTTAAGTAATTTTACAAAAATCTCCACCACACTTGCATCAATTAATTATTTATATGTAAAAAGTATACAACAAGTAATTGGATAACAATTTGACAAACCAAAAAAAAAAAAGTCAAATAAAATAAAATAGAAATAATAAATTACGTGATAAACGTAAAATGACGCAAACAGCTTGCGAACAACAGCAAAATTATGATGGATCACCAATCAAGCAACACCATCAACTTGCAACAGCAATGCAACAACGAGGATTAACAGCAAAAAACAAGCGCATAACAATAAGAATGCTACAACAACAAAAGTTAACAGCATTACCCATTGCCGCAGCAACAACAATAACAATGTAATGTTATAGTGGCATGAACATATAAAGCCAATAAGACAAAAAGTCTTTAGTTTGCGTA